TATATATATAAAACACAGGCACACACGGTTCATGGTAAAATTAGCATTTTATTTTACCCTCGTGATAACTTTCTCCCTTATTAATGTTATGCTTATGAGAATCTAATTTTGATAAAGAATATGGCAGGCTTTTTCGGAACGTATAGTCTTTCATCGACCATTTCGTTTCTAGACGATTAACGTATTTACGTTACTAAACAGTTTTTTACTAATAAAATATTTATATCACGTGTAAAATTTATATATATATATATCTAGGATAATTAAAACAGTACTAGGCAAACTTGAATTAAAAGCGAAAAAAAAAGGCAGGCAAGAAAGTGAATCGAGTTCCACCTATTCAAGTACCATTTCCTTAAACGAGGACAAGGGAGAAAAATTCATGCCCTTATACTATGTATAATAATTATAGTTGCGATACTAATAATAACGATTAAATTAGCTAAATACTAGATGGACTCGTATTAATTGCTGTTAAAAGATACAGAAATGCGCGATGGGCGAAGAAATTGTAAATATCGCTCATGTGTGTATGTATGCGGTCTCGTATGCATGCGTGCATGTATACTGATTAATTAATTAGATGGTTGTGCTCGCATGCATACAGAAACGTTACAAAAGAGTTACGAACAAGGCACACGCAATTATTCACGCACGCACGCATACACGAATTCCGCGCGGTCACGTGGTATGTATAATTTTATTGTTGTATTCTGTATATCGATGTATCGCAATGCCTTGATGCAAAAGTGAGTAATTATAAGAGGAAGCGCGTCAGCACGCGAACTGTATCAACACGACATACAATGTTCACAAACGGTAGATGCAAACAAATTCGATTAAAAAGATTAGTTGGAACAATAAAAAGGAAATGAATAAAAGCAAGGAAGCAAGTGGACGTCTCTCCAACAGAGTTTCTCGCACAGAAATTGAGGAACGGAATTCGACGTTAAATTTTACTTTGATAAAAGTTTCCTGTTTCAATTATGAAACAATTTAAAACTATAGAAATATAAAACTCATTTTGTAGAGTCAGCGATTTTATGAGAATTCAGATCTAAACAAGAGTCGAATGTATGGAAGGTTTTTTTTTATTAGTTAAGACGGCGTGAGATCTTTTGCATCTCGTGCTCTCTACACGTTTTTAGATTTTCGTATCCTTTAATTAAATAAAGGCTCCCGTCGACTACGTAATGTTAAACGTGTACAAGTATTTACTTTTTAAAGAACGTTGCAACGGAAGCTTCATTATTTATTGTTCACGAATTAGTTGAACTTGAATATTCGATAAAAGTACTGCACTCGCGGTAAAATATCAAGTTACAGAAGTTGTTTAATCTATACATGTTTTATACGTTCGCGGGGATAAACATTTTAAAATACTACAAGTTGTAGTTAATCCTTGTTCTAATCTGTCGTGTTTTAAATTGTACAAATTCGGAAACAGGCACAAGCAGTGTCGGTAGATTTGATGTTGTTGAATAGCCACGCCAATTTAGCTTGTATGAAACTGAGACGCGGCATATTTATTCGAGGATTAAAAACAATCTCATCCACTCGCATAACATGACATTCTCATTGTCGTCGAAATTTCACCTAGCCAATTTTCATCGTAAACATCCGTTGCGATTATACTATTGTACATTTGTATTAAATATTACATCTCTTTTCTTTGTTCTGTGTTTGTCTGTAAAGATGCACGCGGCGACAAAAGATGATAACGTTCAAGTAAATCAAAAGAGGATTTCGATCAGAGTAACATTATAGTATAATTATTATTAAGTAGTACGTTTGATCATTATAGGAATGTGTAAAAAAAAACCAAGTTATGTTTGCAAAATTGAATGAGGAAAAATGATCACGGTGATTATTAGTTTATTAGAGCATTTGAATTAACAATAAGGATATTGTATCATTTCGATTTAAATCCTAATGTAAGATGCAATTTCCTTCGATAGTATGATCGTTGATCAGTATAATATCAAGTTTGTGATAAACCTATTTATTGTATTAAATATTCTTGTTCTGGCGTAGTATCGTAGTAACTATTTTCTTCTCTAACGTTTTAGCAAGTTGCTGAGTACCAATCGTATCGACCGAATTATTATTCCATGTATCCTTGGACTTGTAAAATAGCAGTTTGAAAGAAAGCGATATTTTGATCGAGCCTCTCAGACCGTAAAAAGTTGAAGATTATCTCCATTCCTTAAACTGGAGAATTCGTCTAAATCCGAATTTTCATTATGTAAAAAACGTAGTAGCTTTGAAATCATAGTAGATACTCTCTACTGTTAAAATCGACAGACCAGTGATGCGTTTCTGATTGTAGAAAATTGTTTCTGTCAAAATTCGAGCAATTATCGCTTTACGTATACTTTTGCGGCTGGATGGAAGAACTGCTCGTAATGAGAATGAAAACTGATTAGATAGCGTCTTATCGAATCGAATTTAATAAAGCCGGCATATTTTTAAATGTACATTAGCTGGAAAAGCGCAACAAGTTTTGATCGATGATGTATAATTATACTTGGGTCAAATACATGCGTTGGACGTTAAACGAAATTTTTACGTTTACAAGCATAGAGAGCAGTAGAAACGTGCGTGCGAACATGAATATAATTGTATCTGAAAATAATTTGAGAACCATGATCTTTCGTATCAATCCTGATCCTTTTGCTTAACACGGAACTGTATCTCTTCTTCGGTTATCGCGTAGCTTTTCCCTCACTGCCATTGTAAAATCATAAGAATTTCATGTTTTTTTTTTATTAAATCCAGCATGTGCTGGTTGCTGAATTATGTACACACGAGTACGAAGTGCAATGCTACGATAATTATACATATATAAATATATTACTAGCAAAACTTATGTACATGTTGAAAAGTAATTTCAATTGTAAATTAAACGTTAAGACTTAGTTTCTATAATTTAAGGAATTCATATAGTCCTGGCATACGCAATAACTGTATTATTACATATTATTATTGTAATTGTATTATCTTTATTGATGGAAAAAATATGGAAATGTATACACATTACACCACCATTATTTTCTACAAATCTTGAGTGCATCATGACTAAAATCACATACGTGAGATAATATAATAATAATACTTGTAGTAATAATAATATGTTGTTATTTGATGATACTTGACAATATATTAGCGAGGATATTATATTCCATCGTAGAATTTTAGAATCTTTTTGCTCGACAATTCAAAAATCGATTCTAATTGAAAATTGAACAGGCTCTAAATTCGAAACTTGAATATGGCAACAGAGAGAAAATAAGAGTACTCAGTTTTATTTTACGAGCATGATCCTCGATCCAAGTGATCAATCCTAAAGATGAAAAATCGTCGAGGTGGGACAGCATCATGTACTCCTACAATTACATCATTCGAATGATCCTCAAATAAGGGAGGAGGACACAAATATCTTCTCGTGATTGATCGCTATATGTTCGCTACACAGGCATTGGATTTTTGATTGAAAACCTTCTTAATCGATAAAGGAAATCAAGGCGAAAACAAATCCATTTTAATTCATGCCATTCCAAATTGTGGGCTATTTGATTCAGTGACTCCACTGACAGACCAGACCGATTCGAAGGGGATTAGGACAAAACTCTCAAATAGCTTAGGTCTCTCACAAGATACATGAAAAATATGAATGATTTAGATTCATTGGACTAATTTCCTTAAAATTAGTCACGTTAAAAACTTGATTTTTCAAATGCGAATTACTGCCAAATATATCTTTGGTACAAGTACAACAATTCGTGGATATTAACCTGTGTACAAGTGAAAAGGTTTAAAATCTAATTCAAAAAGATATGACGTTTAATTCATTGAAATTAAGCCAATGGCTTGTAAAACAATGTAATTCCATGGGTAAGAATTTACTTAAATATCTGTACAACATATATTACATCAATGAACCATTTTAGGTTTGAAGAATCCCACGCCAATCCAGCAAAATTGTATTCCGAGAATATTAGCTGGTGATGATTGCATCGGATGCGCAAAGACAGGCAGTGGTAAAACGCTTGCATTCGCACTTCCCATATTGCAAAAGCTATCAGAAGATCCATATGGCATATTTGCGCTTATATTAACACCAACACGAGAGCTCGCTTTCCAAGTATTAAATTAAATGATACAATCATCTAAATTACGTGTTTTATATATCAAGTAACGAGAATCTTATTTATAGATCGCCGATCAGTTTTCAGTAGTCGGAAAATCGATTGGTTTAAAGAAATGTGTAATTGTCGGTGGAATGGATATGGTTACACAAGGTTTAGAGTTATCGAAGCATCCGCATATAGTTGTCGCGACTCCAGGACGATTGGCAGATCATCTCTCTAGTTGTGACACGTTTTCTTTGAAGAGAATCAAATACCTAGTATTGGATGAAGCCGACAGACTTTTAGAGGGTCACTTTGACGATCAAATAAAAACAATTTTCAGTGCTTTACCAAAGAAGAAACAGACGCTGCTTTTTAGTGCAACAATGACAGACACCCTTGACAAAGTAAAACACATGTCTAGTAAGGTACCACGACCTCCACACGAATTTTAAAGCGATTAGATAGAGCAAGTAAGTTAGTATAAAACAAGTTTTTGCAGCCCTTCTTCATATGGGAATCCAATGATGAAACTGGTGTGGCCACGGTGAAAGAGCTTGATCAACGTTACGTACTTTGTCCCAATGACGTTCGTGACTCGTTTCTAGTAGAAGTGATCAGAACATTTCGAGCAGATAGTAAAGATGGATCAATCATGATATTCACAGAGACTTGCAAGTAAGCCGAAATTCTTACAAGTACGTATCTGGTCTTTTAAACATGCAAACGTTTTCATACATTCTAGACATTGCCAAGTACTGTCTATGACATTGAACAACGTAGGATTTCAAAATGTGGCCCTCCACGCGATGATAAAACAAAAGGATCGACTGACAGCCCTTGCTCAATTCAAATCGAATCATACGAAAATTTTAATAGCCACAGACGTTGCAGCGAGAGGTTTAGATATTCCTACAGTTGAATTAGTTATAAATCATATAATACCTAATGTACCGAAGGAGTACATTCACAGAGTTGGGAGAACCGCTAGAGCGGGGAAAGGTGGTATGGCAGTTAGTTTAATTACTCCGCAAGATATTAAATTGCTACATACCATTGAAGAGACTATTGGTACAAAACTGACCGAGTACAAAGTTAATGGTAATAGATTATTAGATTCAATGATGACAAAACTGAAAATGTTAATATCACTTCTTCATTTGTAGACAAAGAGATAGTAACGATCTTTACACAAATATCGGTCGCTAAACGCGAAGCGGAAATGAAGTTGGACGAAACGGACTTTTACGAAAAGAAAATGATTAATAAACGTAAGAAACTTATCCTCGAAGGAAAAGATCCAGATGAAATCGAAGAAATACTAGAGAAGAAGAAACGGGGTAATTCAAAGAAAGAACGTACAGTATGATTAATTCAGATTTTATTTTGTTCAAAAGTGTATATAATGTACAAGATGTATTAAACTACTTTTTCATTCATACATCATTACTCGCTATGGAAAAATATTTCTATTATATGCTGTGTAAATTACAATCGGATTATGGTAAAAAAAAACAATATAATATGTATATGTATATCGTAGAAGCCGAGTTCAAGAAACATATAAAACAGTTTATAAAATACTTTTTTTAATGTCAGTGTATAATAGCTTTAGATCCGACTTTCTACAGTTATAGGCAATTCTAATGGCCAATAAAATAGATCAAAAGATCCAAATGATCATAAAAAAATATAACTTTGGTTCTCCTTGCATTTCAAAGTGAATATTCATATCAAAAACATTTGGCAAACTTGACAAGATGTTTCATACATCACTTGAGAATACATTAAACAAAATTGTAGTATCATACACATTTAGGAGCACGTTCTCATCTTCTCTTCATTCTGAATTACACTCAATTTACCCAGGAAGGCATAAAGCTCGGCGACGTATTCTTTCGGGTATTTACGATAATGTCCAACATGCGGAGATTTATCAAATATTTTAACGTATGTCTGAAAAGGGACAATGTCAACTCACTATCGACTTTGCATATTCGTGGCATCTTACCTTTACGCCCAAGCTGTCCCATTGATTCTTTACTTTATAATTACTCGTTATCGGACCAACTGGATCCGTTTTGCTCATGAAAAATAATGCAGGAGTACGTACCAAGTTTGAATGAAATAATTGACTAGACCTTATATAATACTGGGTCGATTGTTTGTAAAACGTTTTTAAGTGATACCTGTAAATCGCGTTAATATTAATCTACGAATCATAAATTTGAAGGAACATCGCAGTGACCACAAGAAAATACTCACTCCATATATTTTCGTAACATGGTTTGAAGCATTTCATTTTTTGGGAACACAGCCCTTGGTACACCGATCGACAGTTCAGTCACATCAGCTGCACTGTCCCACACTTGGCCAATAATTCGGTCAATTACATTGTTATACTTTTTGTGATCGCCTTGAACTAAATCGCATACTTCTCCCCACATGTATCCACCTACTGAAAATCCATGCAAAACTATTTGCTGATAATTCTGATTTCGTGTTAGGAACTCTAACAAATCAGCAGCAATTAACTAAAAGTAAATCTTGACAAATTAGAAAACATACATTAGGCATAAATCGAAGATGGAGCTAGATACTTTACACACTTACTCTTGATCCATTCATAGGCCACAATAATTGCCAAGGCGTAATCGTTACTACGATAACATCAAAACCTTGCTTAGTATATAATTCCACGTATTTCATGACGTGCTTGCGTTTCGCCAACAACCAGGTAAGCAAGACCAACAGAGGTCTATTCTCATTATTGCTGAAAGTCGGCTTGGCTCTGCCAAAAGTTCTAATCTCATTGTCTTGAGAAATATGTTCAATGTTTTTCGTAACTTGATAACTCGACAGCTTGCATACTAGTAAAAACAGGGCCTGAGGACATGACATTCATTAGAATACAGGAAGACAATTCCGTATTGTAAAAATTTTATATTACCAAGTCTTGTTTCTGGCTCAACAATGGAGTTTTTCCATAAGGAACTAGTCTTGTCCTTGCAAGAGTAGACAATAGTGCCCTCCGAGCAATCATCTTTATGACAATTACGTTCTAAGTACAATGTTTATAAGATACAATTATCGATAATACAACCATACAATCAAGTATAATTAGTGTCTTATCGTAAATTATAATTCTTGAAAATGACGCATCAACCGAGTTCTTTGTTTACTGTGCACGATATGCAAAATAGAATTTATAACTCGTTTCACCTTGTACACATTTTATTCTCAGTCAGTTCCATTCAAACTTTACGAAACTAATACGAGATTCGTTATAACTTGATCATTAAAATCAATCGACTCGCGTATGACATTTTTATTAGCTAATATAGCGCACTAAATCAGCTTTCTCTTTTTATTCTTATTCTCTCGCTCATTGCAAGTCCGCAAGGCAGTTGCCAAGCAATATCGAATTTCATTCGGGATTCGCATTCACTATTTCATACTCCGCAGTTGATCTCATTGTATACATTGTAAAAAAAAATTGTTTATACACAGATTCTCATAGTTCCCCGCTTCTTTTATCGAAATCGTGTTACTGAAAATTATTACAAATAAAAAAATGCACATGCTCAAAAGAAAAAGTTGGAAGAGTCTCTCCTCATTGAAAACAACTCTAAAAACGGGCCACAGTATGTGATATTTCAACTGATTTATATAATGCTTATTCGGTTCCATGTCGCGTGCTTATAATTAATCCGTTCTATCATTAGGACAAATTGATTCAGATGATCGAAGCAATTACGTTAATTTAACTGATTATTGTATCTCAATTGAAAAAAGTTACAGAGCTGTTGTTCTTTAAAAAAATTTAGATAGGCTAAACAAGAGTAGAATGCAAAAAAAATACTTACACTTTAACGGTCGAGTCGAGCTTCTGTTCTCGTTGCAAACTGAATTGCGTTTGCGTGTTCTCTAAAGTATGTAATAAAGCATTGGTCGGCGCAAGTAAAGCGATTAAAGTAACTTAATCATTTTCACAAGATAATAAGTATATAACTTCCATTGTCGGTTTTGCAGTTTAAAAATAAGAATTTTTCAACTATAGATTAGAATTCTTTTCTCTATAGCATGTAATGCATCCACGATTTTTATACGTTTCGATAAAGGTATTACTGAATAATCTTTAATAAGACTCGTATCTGTAGAAAATAATTTTTCCTCTGACGATATACTTCGTCACATATCTCTTGACAAAGTTTGTATGGGTATGAGAATATTAAAGAAGGAAATCATGTTAATTGTAAATTTCAATGTATTCATTACCACATACATCAATGTATACTGATACTAATCGTATAGCTACCTGAAATTTTATCTACCAATTAATGAATTAATGTTCGTATTACATACTATTATCGCTATTAATAAGTTACTTAATTTCATGTTATATAAAACACATACGTTTAATACATACATTATATACGATGTATGTACGTTGCCAAGTGTTGAGATAAAATTTTTAAAACATCAGAGGAAGATGGGAGAGAGTTTGTGCATTAGAAAGTCGAACGGGAATGGTAAGATACGACAAATTGTCAATAGTACAAAGAGCTAGTTTTCTTAAAGCGAAGAGCGAGCAGTTTGATGGTTTCAAGAGAACTCGGAATACCCAAGTTTCATGCGTACATACGTTCAGATTAGCAATTAGATCCTCTCCTGATTTCTTCCTCTGTTACCTTGTCGCTACATACGTATACATTATAATAGACGTCCATAAAATAGTTTCTGTCATGGGCACGGGCACGTACGAATAGATGAAATAAAATCGCTACAAAAGTAATAAGAATTTATCGGAAATTAACGCTTGAAATATGCCGGAATAATAATTTTCGTATATAGATTGCAGGCTACTCTTACTTTAGGTAAAATTGACATCATCTACTGGAAAGTAACAAGATCTAAATACTGATTATTATTCGGCCTTTGGAAGCTCGTTAATTTCTTACAAATATATTACGTGAAAGAAGCGGCTCAAGATGTTACTTCTTACTGTGCTTCAGCATAAATATTACGTAAACAAGATTCACGTCCAATTATATAGAATACATGTATATATATATATGATGTTGCTACAAGTATTGACGGTGTAATTCACCGCTCCTGTTAAAACCTACTCGAATACAGCGTCTACAATTGTGCAGAAATATGGGCCAGTCTTTGATAATCACGTGTTCAACGAAATTTCATTCAATAATTATGCAAACTTCGGTATATACGCACAATATGAAACATAGTCCACAAAAGTGTTTTCCTACTCTTTTGTATACTGTCAAAAGTACGATGATTTAAAAAGAGGATAATTTACATGTACACGTGTCTATATAACTTTTACATTTCTATATAACATTGTTAAAATCATAAAATACAACAAAATTCGTAAGAGCAACAATTGCAACAAAAGCAAATGAAAGCTCAACAATAACGTGATACCACCGTTATTAAGGATGTATTGGCTATACAGTCAATCCCAAAAGTTTATGCACTTTAGAAACGCATTTTTTAAAAAGAAATCAGACGTCGGAAGAACATTGCTAATAATAAACAACAAAAAAATTCTTTTTGTTTTTCCGAAATTTTTCCAAGGGGTACCCCTTCAGATTTTGCAAAATTTTCGTTTTTGGCCAATAACTCCCAAACCGTTGGACATACGGAAAAATTGTATCAGACCTTTCTTGTAGAGGATGACG